AGGTGTCAGGGGCACTTGTATTAAACCTGGTGGGTACAGGGGTGGCAGCAGCGTCCAGTGGGCGCTGGCTGTCTAGCTGACTCCTGGTCTGCCTCATAGCCTGTTTACTTTGGAAATCACTGTATTGTAGGAAACAACAAAACTTCATTGAGATGCAGACATTGGGAGAAGAGACTAAGCCAGGGGTTGGCAAATTTTTTGCACAGCCTTTAAGCTAAGAATGCTTTTTATCCTCTAAAAAGGGTCTTAAAAGGGAGCGAGTGGAAAAGGAGGTCTCTGTGAAGGATATGGGAAAAATGTCCAGCAAAGTAGGATGGAAACCTCGAGCAGAGAGCCGCAGGGTTCCTCAGCGGGTGGGGGCGACAACGGTCCCAACACTCAAGAAAGATGGTGTCAGGTCAGGACAGGAAAGCACCGGCTGGACCTGGGGTATGGCTCCTCTTCATGACGTCTGCCTGGGCATTCGATCGGGGGCACAGAAACCACACGGCAGTGGTGAAGGCGGACTGAAGGGGCAGACAGGCAGCGTGGACAGCCTGTATACACCATTCTTTCAGGAAGCTTGGCAGTGAAGGGAGAAAGAAAGGGACCCTGAAGAGAGAAGTCAGACAGAAACATGGCATCAAGAACAGAGTATTTTGCAGACCAGAGAGATTGTCCATGTTTAGGTACTGATGAGAAATGTTGGTAGAGAAGAGGCTGAAGGTGTGAGCAAGAGAGAACAATGAATGGAGGAAGGTTTCTAGGGAGACGGGAGGGCACCTGGAGCACAAGGGGAAGGGCAGCCGTGGCAGGAGCACACCTCTTCCCTGGCTTGGGAGGGATGGAGAAGTAGGAGGTACGCTAGGTGGTTGCCAGGGAGGACCTTGACAGTGTCCTTGGGGCCTCAATTTTATCAATGGAAAGGATGGATTCTCTATCAATGATAATGAGAGACAATAAAACAGGTTAAAAGAAGGGTTAAGAAAAGAGGGACAGTCAGAAGGGGATGCTGATGGCAATGGACAGGGAAGTATCTAGGGACGTCTGCAAGGATTTCTAGGCAGTCGTGGGGACCCAGGACAGTGGCCCATGGTGGACCAATTCCTCCAACAGCCAGCACCTCAGGAAGGAGCAGGGCAGAAAGGCTCCAGAATTGGGGTTCAGCTGGGTGGGTCCACACAGCAGGATAAGTGGACAAGAGCGATTAGAGAGAGATGCAGGACAGAGAGAAAGACCCGCCACCACAGTCAAATGAAAGTGCCCTGGAGTTAATAGTAGTCACTGGTTCAGGTGTTCCGCAGAGGGGTCAAGGTCACTTCTGTGTATAGAATAGATTCCTTCTTCAACAAAGAAAGTACATGGAGGCAAATGAGGTAATAATGGAAAGAGCAGGAGTTTTAGAATCAGACAGATGTGGGTTCAAAGTCATCCTTGCTGTTTCCCAAAATAACATTTTGTCTCTAAAATGTGAAAAATACATGCTTTGCAGAACTTGCAAGAATTCAGTGAAATAACTAATGTAAAGCACCCCTGTAGGTCACACACACCATCAGGTGCCTGTCTTGTTATTTAGTGCTCTAACTTCTGCTTCTACAAGTGCCTGCCCTCAGCAGGTACAAATGTCCCTCTTCCTCTGGTGAGGTCGCTAGTGTGGACCCCCTTCCTGTATTCATCAAAGCACCTCCTCTGGCTCTGGAACCAGCTCCCCTGAGGCAGTTGGTATTCCCGCCTTTGACCTGTACAATCTCAATTATTGCAATAATGAAATGGAATATTGATTTATATTTCCTTTCACTGAGCCAGGCTGATACTTAACTTAGTGATTTCAGGAAAGTATACATCATGGAGGTGGAGCTCTAAGACCACAGAGATTCAGGACCATGCGGCTGTCCATCCATCCACCAAACAAGTGGCTTGGCTTCTTTATCACAGCCCTGTGGGACCACAGATAATCCCCGATGAGGTGCGAAGATGGTTCCCTCCTCAACACATGCAAGGATGGATGCCGAGGGAATAGAAGGAACACAGGTACCCTTCCTTACTCAGCCACAATGCCACTCTTGCTAGGAGGTTTGGGCAGTAAAGGAACAGACTGCCCAACCCAGTAAACAGTCAGTCTGACCAGTCTGCAGAAGATAATCACTTCAGAGGTGTTCAACTGAAGCATGAAGCCAAGAGCTATCCTGAGTTTTGCAAAAAAAAAAAAGAAAAAAAAGAATCCAAGAGTAAATCAGGGATCCATTTGATGGGCAGTAGAGCACAGGTGGACTGAGAAACTAGCAGACTGAGAAGGCATTAACAACATCAAATTCAGGTCCAAAGCACACATCTGTGGTAACATGGCACAAAGACCATAAACCGTTCCCAGTTTCCACTCTTCCTTTCTTCTGTTTAGTAAGAGAACTCCTAAGTATTAGTTGAGACTGTTTAGCTGGCCCAGCTAGACACTATATTTCCCAGACTTGCTTGCAGCTAAGTGTGCCCAAATTCTGCCAATGGGCATGAGTGAAAGGATATGGACAATTTCTAGATAATATTTAGGTGGGATTGTTTGCCCTCTACCTCCATTTCTCCTCTTGCTCCAGACAGAACAGAGGGTGGATGTGATGTTGACCCAGCTTTTGCTATGCAGAAGAGGATACCCTAGACGATGGGGAGCAGCACAATGGAAGGAACCTGGGTTCCTGAATGACACTGTGGAGCAGAGTTGTTTACCTATCCTGGCCATCTACCTCTTAGCTATTAGGTGAAAGAGAAATACACTTCTATATTTTTGAGAAAATGTATTTGGGGGTCTTTTTTGTTACAACTTAGCCCATACCCTACCTAATACAGAATGTTTCCCAAAGATACAGAGAATAATAGTTTTTGAACAAATATTGATATTTATTGAAAGCTTACCGTGTGCCAGGCATTGTTCCAAACTTTACATGTATTAATTAGCTCATTGAATCCACACAACACTAGCTAGATGAAGACTGTTATCCCCATTTCACAGAAAAGAAGGCACAGGGAGATTCAACACTTTTTCTAAATACTCATAGCCATTGAGTGGCCTAACCAACAGTCAGACAAGTATTCTTGAGGAGATCACACCCTTAGTCACTATGTTTATTAAAGTATAACTTTTACAATTCCATGCAGTCAAAAGGACACAACTTCATTTTCCAGCGAGTTGTGCCTGAATATATTAACTTGTCTTCAAAACTACTGCAGGATCAAGGCAAGTCATTTAGCATCTCTGCTAGTTTGTTTTCCCAGAAAGAGCACAGAAAGGGGACCCACACTACCGACCTCATGGAACTGCTGGAATGATCAAATGAACTCACACATATTTAAGAAATGCTTTGAAAGCTATAAGTGTGGCATACATTAAATAGCGCCTTAAAGAAGGCTGGGAAATCCTTAAACCAAAATAATAAAATGCGCTCAATTTTTAAAAAAATGCAAATACCATCTAGCAATTTGGCTGGTCGCCTGGGAAGGCTGCCGAAATCTGTTAAGGAGAGAGGTATGCTTGCTTTCATACCTCTTGCTTTCGTACCTCCCTCATCCTCAACTGGAGGGGAGAGGTTAATTGAAACTAATTGAGAGAGCAAGCATATCTGTGTTGTGTGCACACACACACGCACACACACAGGCTCTCAATAGAGGAGAATCATTATTATCAAGAACAGGAAGAGCTGCAGTCTTCAAGGCCGATGGGAACCAGGTAGTGCAGAGGCTGGGGTGGGATGAGGAACGCAAATGCCTACAGTGTGAGTGGGGACTTTGGGGCACAGGAGTTCCAGCGTTGGCTGCCCTGCTGCCATGTGAGCATGGTGTTGCCAGACCTTTCAGAATCCCATTTTGTGAAATGTCCCCATTTTCCAAGGACGCTCAAATTTACAAATAAAACATGTCGAGGACCACCAGCTGACCTCCTGGGATCTAGCCCGGGAACCGGAAGTCACATTAGACTCTTTAAGGTGCTTCATGGTGATTATGCACAAGCCACAGTTCAGCTTTCTCTCAGCACACCCTGCCCTGCTCTGACCCACCCAAGGCCACCTCCCTCTTCCTTCCTCCTCGCCTTAACTCTACCCTCCGGGGAAGTCAGCTTTCTCTTTGCTTTCTGCTCTTGAACCTCTCTTCCCCTTCCTTTTAGTTGGTGTTACCTTGAAGACATCAACTACCCAGTTATCTTGAAGACACAAAGGAGCTTCCCTCCTCTGTATGCCAATCAAGGCCAACGTTCTTCTTCCTGCCAACATCATCTCAACCTGCTACCTGCCCCCACCACATAATTTTCTCACGAAGGTGAGTTGCAGTTAGTTCTCAATTGTCTGTAATGAAGGAGGGGGCAGGCAGGCACAGACAGTGCTGGAGACCAGACACCCCCCAGTCACGTGCTTTTGCCTTTAGTGTTTGGTGGCGAACAAGTCAGAAGCGCACCACTGAGGTCACGCGCGCGATGCTGTCCTGGCCCCCCCATGGAGCCTGAGACTAGCAGAACCAGGGTCTGGACAAAGCCTTGAAGGAAATTTCAGAGCTCCGCCTCCAGGAGGTGATGGCCTGGTTGCTGCCTTCCCTCCACCTCATCTCAAAAGCCCCCTGCTCGTGTCCTTTGGGTGCCCTGAAAACTTCAACCAGCCGATTGCCCCTGTGTCTGCAGGAGCCTGGAGTCCCTTCTCCCCTGCCACCCCCCACGTGGGTCAAGCTCCTGTCCCAAAGGTGGACAGACACCTCTAACGGGTTTCAGTTTCACTTTCTTTGCCTCCACATGACCTCAGGGGTTCTCAGGGCAATGACAAGGACAACAAGGCCCACGCAGGAGGGAAGCCCTGAGGGAGAAAGGCTACTCACACCCAAGGTGTTGTCATTCATCACTTGTCATGAGACCCCGCCCCTCTGGCGATCTCAGGAACTTTCCCGCCCAGCTCATTGGCTGCGGCGGGGCAGGCGGTCTGCGGGCCTTGGGCTCCTGGTGGGAGCTGCGAGGGCAGGTCTGTGCTGGGTTCCGTGCCCTCCTGACTTACTGTTTGTTTGGGACGTCTGGACTAGGGCTACAACCGTTCCTCTCTTTGTTTCCACAGCGCTGCAGAATGTGCTTTTCCCTCAAAAGGGCATAAAGGTCCTCTTTCTTCCGCTGGCCTGCGCCCCCGGGGCTGTTCTGCAGGGCTCGGGTCTGCAAGCCCAGGCCAGCCCCAGGGCTGGAAGTCGCAGCAGCCGGTGCTCACGTGACTGAAAGTCGCAGCCTCCTCCGCGGCCGGTGCTCACGTGACCTGTGCACAGCGGGGCCTTGGCAGGCAGCCAGTCCCAGTTCTTAAAGCCGCAGTGCCTCCAGCGGCGGGGTGGACCCTGCAGGAGTCGGCCTGCCCTCCCTGGAAACAGGAGCACGTATATAAGGGCTTGGCTGACACTGCCCGGGGGCTTTGAAAAATTCTGATGCCAGGGTTGTAGCCTGGGCACCAAGCGTTTCTCTAGGCCTCAGTGTCCTCGTCTCTCATCTTGGTCAGTGGTTACGAGGATTAACTGGGTCAGTGGGCATGAAGCACTAGAGCCACACCTGGCACTCAGGAAGTGCCCAATAGACGCTGGCTTTTAAGATTTTCAGCTGGATGCCTCCTTCAAGGGAAAAACAGGATCCGCTTTCTTCTGCTCTGGCTCCTGCTTCAATGCCTGCAGGATGTCTCTTTGCCCCGGGAGTAAGCCCAAACACCATAGGAAGTCACTCACCCAGTGGCCCCTGCCCGAGCCTGCGGCTTTACCTTCTCTGCCTTTCCTGAATCTCGGCACCCTCTGCCTCCTAACCTCAAAGCACAAGTCCCACACCTTAGCCCGCTGCAGGTCCCCCTGCATGTCGCTACCTAGGTCTGGCTCACTCTTTCCGCCCTGGGCCTCCATCTGGCTAACTTCCTCCCTTCCCATATGACTTGGCACAGGTGTGACTTCCTTTCCTGGCTCCCAAAAAACAGGTGAGGTGCCCCCTGTGTGTTCCCACAGCATGCCGTGCTCCTCCCCTTGCCAAGCCTAGGCATTGTCTATGTAGGTTTACTTCTCTCTGCCTCCATCGGCTGGAAGGCTGGGGTGGGCTGGGCCTGTTTTGCTTACCACCACAAGTTTAATACTACTGGAATGAGTGAGTGAGGGATAAAACAAATAGGTTTAGAACAAACAACTTAGAAAAAGACTCACAGATGCAGAGTATAGGCTGATGGTTGCCAGAGGGGTTGGGGGAGCTGCAGGGACTGGGTAAAACAGGTGAAGGGATTAAGAAGTACAAATTGGTAGTTACAGAATAGTCATGGGAATGTAAAGTACAGCACAAGGAAATCAGTTAATAATATTGTAATAACTTTGTATGGTGCCAGGTGGGTACTTGAAATATCAGGGGGAACACTTTGTAAAGTATAAAGTCTAACCATTATGCTGTACACCTGAAACTAATACAAGATAGCATCAAATGTCAACTGTAATTAAAAAATAAAATTAAAAAAATGAATGCATGTAATTGAAGGAATTAGTGAAAGGTCATGTATTATACAATCAGAAACCTTATGTTGTGCAATCCTACCCACCAAGCGTGCTGTCTCTGATCTGCTGGAACCTCAGGCATAACCCTGCAAAGGTCCATGGTGACCACAGCTACCCATCCTTCACCCCCTCCAGCCCCAGCTTGCCTACGTTGCTCTGAGTGATGTCCTGGCTCCAGAGAATGAAGTAAAGTGAGAGGTAGTTGTTAAACTGGTCCTGGGTCACACAGGAGCCAGATACCATCTATTACGTTAAATTTTATTAGGAAAGTTCCAAAGATGGGAATAACCGAAGTGTCCATCAACAAATGAATAGATAAACAAATGGTATACACATACAATGGAATATTATTCAGCTGTAAAAAGGGATGAAATTCTGCCCTGGCCGGTTTGGCTCAGCAGTTAGAGCATTGGCCTGTGGATGAATGAGTTGTGGGTTGGATTCAGTCAAGGGCACGTACCTGAGTTGTGGTTCGTCCCTAGCCCTGGTCAGGGTCGTGCCGGAGGCAGCCAGTCAATGTGTCTCTCTCACATCAATGTTTCTCTCTCTCTTCCTCTCTTTCTCCCTCCCACCCTATCTGAAGATAAATAGAAAAATATCCTTGGGTGAGGATTAAAAAAAAGAAGAAGAATTAAAAAAGGGAATGAAATTCTGATACAAGCCACAGTATAGATGATTCTGAAATACATTATGCTAAGTGAAATAAGCCAGACACAAAAGGAGAAATATTATCTGATTCCACTTATATAAGATACCTGGAATAGGCAAATCCACAGAGACAGAAGGTAGAATAGAGGTCCCAGGGGCTGGAGGAGAGGCGAATAGGAAGTTACTGTTTAATGTGTCCAGATTTCTGTTTGGGATAATCAAAAAGCTCTGCAAAGTCATGAATGTATTTAGTGCCACTGAATTGTACATGTAAAAATGGTTAATTTTCATGTTATGTATATTTTATGAAAAAAAAAAAAACTTTATTAGAAACATAAATTGTGGCAACACCCTAACCTGCACCCTCAGGGAATGACTATAATGAAGCAGAGCTTCGGGGCCTGAAGCTGAAACACAGAACCCCAGAAGGTTTTTTGGTGTGGACGACCAGAAGTGCCAGAAATGCCAAACATTTACAGTTGGTTTCTTCAGTGGGTGAGATCCAGGCAAAACAGCTCAGGGAGAAACATTACAATATTCAGAGAGCATCAGAGCATGCTTGGGGAAAAAAGCAAGTGCTGTGTCAAAAGAATTTACAAGTATAACCAAGCTATTGTTTGTAATTGCTTTGCTAAAATGAGGCCCTCTCAAAAATAAAAATTAAAAATTAAACCCAGGTAACTAACGTATGCCAGGTCATTGGAGCTGTTTAGAAGTTAAGAAAAGGAAAGGCCATTGAGGGGACTCAGCAGGTGACAGAAATAAGAATGCAAGATGCTTTTCCCAGAGAGGTGCCCCAACCTCTGACAATTGTCACCTCTGACAATGGAGGGACTGAGGGGTTAGTTCTCAAAAGTCGATGTGGCCTCTAGTTGAAAGCAGGTTTCTGCAAAGTGTTGAAGGGAGATCTGAGTTCGTTTCTTGTCTCAGTTCCACTGTACTGGGGTATCCAGGCCCTGCCTGAAGCCTCAAGGAGCAACCAGCAGCCGTTGGCCAGCAGCCAGTACCCTTCAGCGTCGTTTGTGCTCACGGTGCAGTCAGCCCAAGAAAGTTTAATTTAGGGCAGAAAAAGGCACGTTCCTGCCTGCCGGGCCCACAGAGGTAGCTGGGAAGGACTTGGGTTATGGTTTCCAGCGGTCTCCTGTTCAGGTTGGGTCTCCAGCTGGGGCTCCCCCTGCGCAGGGTCATACCACTTTTTCTTTCTGCCAAGTGCATTTGTACCTCTGACCTCCTATCTGCTTGACCTCTCTAAGAGAAAGGAGGGAGGGGGGTTGTTGAATATTACAATCTGAACCTTACCCCTGGGGGAGGAGACCCCCAGAGTCAAGGGGAGCCAAGGCATGAAGACAGCCAGGCCTCCCTACCGGTCCAGGGAGGGATATAGGGACAGGCTCAGTCACTTCCCTTATCTTCAGATCTCAAATCAAGTTTTATTTCCTCCAAACAACTACCTGACCACCCCCTCCCAGGCCAAACCAGCACTTCCTCTTACAAGTTCTCAGACCTCCCAAACTTTACCTTTAAAGCACTCCTTACTTTATGGAATTTTAAATTCATAAAATTATTAGATTATCTGACTCTCCCACTAGACATCAAGCTGCTCTGGAGCAGGAAATGTGCCTGTCTTGTTGACTGCCATGTCTCCTGTGCCTAACCAAGTAACCAGCACATAGTAGGCACTCAGTCAGCATAGTAGGTGCTCAATAAATATTTGTTGACTGAATGACTTGATGGGAGCCAGAGGAGATGGAAAGGGTGTTCTGAAACATTTCCTTTGAGTCCTGAAAATTAAACTTGCTCCCATGTGTATTTTACTTCATCCCCAAGTTGTGCTAATAATAGCGACCATTTCCAACCATACTAGTAATTATGGCAACTGTTTACTGAGTTTTTACTGTGTTCATGGTTAATCTAATTTAAGGGTTTGTCTCATTTGACCCTGACAGCTATACTACACTTCGATTCCCATGTCAAAGATAAGAAAACGGAAGCTCTGAGATGTTGGTTAGGTGTCTCGCCCATGGCCATACAGACATCGAGGGGCAGAGCAGGGATCTGACTATTGCTGGGTCTTTCATGAACATTTCCACATTTCATCCTCATGGAAACTCTACGAGGTGAAGCCCAGAGAGGTTAAGCAACCTGCACACTTTTCCACAGCTGGGAAGCCACAGGGTCAGGCTGCAGACCAGGCTCCGATCCAAACGACTGCTCTCCAAAAGAATGTCCTCATGGCTCTGTAGAAAATGTCTTTTAAAAAATGACTAGAGCCCTGGCCAGTTTGGCTCAACCATTAGAGCGTCGGCCCAAGGACCAATGAGTCCCGGGTTCAATTCCAGTCAAGGGCATGTACCTCCGTTTTGGTTCATCCCAGGCCCTGTGTCTCTCTCACATCAATTTTTCTCTCTCCCTCTCTCTCTCTCTCTCTCTCTCTCTCCCTCTCCCTCTCTCTCTCTCTCTCTCTCTCTCCCCCTTCCTCCCATTCTATCTGATGATAAATGGAAAAATATCCTTGGGTAAGGATTAAAGAAAAAAAAAAAAGCCTAGAGAAGTCTACTGAGTGAGCCCACCAGGGTGAACCAGAACAGAAATTTGGATTCAATTGTGCAGAAGACTAGGAGTTCCTGTTGAAACCCCACCCCACCCCACCGCCCAGCTCGGTGCCCACCGCACATGCCTGTCTGCCTCTGTCTCAGGAAATTACCTTTCCTCTGAATTCTCCGAGCCCAGAGCCGCCACCTTGGACTGGATCCTTTATCTAGGACCAAAGCCTGTGGCGGGGGCGTTTCCTGTGACCTCCCTGTAAGTCTCCCTGCCTTCCAGGGCTGGCGGGCACTCAGCCAGCCTCTCCCTCTGCAGTGCCAGGGCTCCACACAGCTGGGAGTCCCTGAACGGCCAAGCAGCCTTGTCCCCGGTCTTAGCGACAGAACAGCTTTTGGGTCCACTCTGCTGGCAGGGCAGAGGGAAATCGTGGGCCCACCCGATGGCAGACTCTGTAAGCACAGCCTCATTTCAGCACAAGGGGCCAG